CCGTGTAAAGTGGCATAATAAGGTGAGCAACATTGAAGGCAGGCGTCGAGTTCTAGGTAAACTGGGGAAATCAATCGACGAAGTCGTGAAGTTACATCGACTGAGAGAGATGGTTAGGACATGTGTTATGTATGCCAAGTCATCGCCTCCCTCGACAATGGGCAATGTTAGCGGATATAGGGTCAGGCTGGAAAAAAGCTAGCGGCGGTCAAACAAAAACTTGGCACCAGTCAATGAAATCCACAACAGTAAGTTTAAGTCACGTAGGAAGGTGTAGACTTCCAGGCTGGGGTCCTCGGGACGGTGAAAACCAATGGTTGGAAACAATTGGTGACATGGCTCAAAATCGTTCTCGGTGATGGTTAGCGCAGATGCATCCACTCCTTGTGACTTATGATTTCCAATGAAACTGTTTTGTTCTTCGCTACTACTATTCCTTTGTCTCACACCTCTGCTCACTGTCTCTCTATTATGCTTTTCTTGTACTTTCTTCTCTTGCTTTGTGTGATACAAGGAGGGAGTGTGGTGACTTGAACTGCCGCACATCGGCACAAAGTTCTATGTCGAAAACAGACAGACCCTATGGTGGTCCTTGTCGAGCTGTAAGTTTCTAATACGGAACCGAACCATAAGGCCATGTGTGATTGGCCTCAAGTTTTTGTCTCCTGGGCTCTGTGATCAAGCAACACTAATTCTCTGGTATCCGCTGTGAGGGCAGTAGGGAAGCAACAACCGCTCACACGCTTCCAAAACCACACAAAGCCGTCGTGATCATCTTCCTTCTTTATCCCTGTCACCCACATCATCTTGCTTCCCTACTGCTGTCAGTAGTATTCTGCAGACCGATCACTCGTCTTCATTTCATTCTATGACCGCGTAACGATGAGCGCCATAGAAACCCCCCGACAGCCTGCTAAAGCCACGTCTCCAACTTCATAATGCGGCCCTCTGCCGTATTGGACAATTGGAATCTCGAACCATGGATGTATGTTGTGTTTTGGATACACGCATACAAGACCCGAGTTTGGTCATTTACTTAACCTCATTCGGCCAACAATGTGAATCTGCAAAATTCACTTTATGAGTGTCAGGAGACTCCTCAGTTAGTTCTCGAGGACTCGCAGGTGTATGGATAGCACCGAGTGTCAGGGCGGGAGAATCACTTCTTGACTGGATCTCAGTAGATAGTCGTATATGTGCGGTCCTTCTGAATGGGTCCGTTAAAAGAAGGAAAGATGGCGCTACCCGTCGTTGTCTTTTCGTAGTCTCCGCTTACGCCCCATCAGACTGCAGTTCGGATGAACTAAAGGATGACTTCTACCTGAAACTGTCTAATTGGTTGCAAAAAGCAAAACGTTCAGATATAGTTGTTTCAGCAGGTGACTTGAATGGCGAAGTAGGAAAGTTGTGCCAGATTGAGAAGTATGTAGGTGGTACGACGTATGGAGTTCCCTGACGACGAACCGACAGCGGTGATTGTCTTCTACGGTCTCACTCAGATAATCATCTGTTTCTAGTCAACACTAACTTTAGATACAAAGAGAGACGTTATGTAACCTGGCGACCTCCATCACCAAATCAACAATGGACTCAGTTAATATTACTGTTCAACACTGTGATTTATCAAAATAAAATCTTATCCATAATGGAGTTATTCTGTACCCACGGCGCCCAAGTTTTATACTTATATCAATAACACTTGACTCAGATGAGCCACATAGTGATAAGGTATGGTTGGCGAGGGTCCGTAGAAGATTGCCGTTCCTTCTGGAACACGTGCGTAGACACTCATCACGCTGTGGTTGGCGCACGTTTATGCCTACGAGTGAACGAACATAAGAAATTGATGGCAGCGAAACACTTACGTTTCCAACTAGGTGGAGACACTGAGTCCCTATTCAAAGGAGAACTAGTGAAAGGAGTATTTGAGGTCGACAGCAGGACTCCTCCTTGAGAAGCCTGCAACAACATCCAGTTAGCTGTAGACACAGCTGTGAAAGCTGTTAATGACCTAAAACATGAAGTTAGTAAGAGGCATTGGATCTCTACCGCCTCATCCGAAGTGATTGACGCAAGAAGACTGATTCCGTTGAGCTCCGATTATGATGAGGAGCGAAAGCTACTCAAACGAAAACTAACAAGAAGTCTTCGCAACGACGATGAACAGTGGTGGGCGACGAAATCGAAAAAGATGGAAAAGGCATCGGCGTTTGGTAACATCAGACAACTATTTAAGCTTATCAAGGAAACAGGTGGTAAATGTCAGATGATAAGTGAGACAATATGTGAGGAAGATGACACCATGATTATCTCCCAGGAGAGATGACGTTTGGTAACATCAGACAACTATTTATACTTACTCATCAGGGAGATAGATGGTAATGGGCAAACGATGAGTGGAACAATCTGTGAGAAAAATGAAACCGTAATTATGTCTCAAGATAGACGAATCGGACGTTGGAAGGATTAATTTGAGGAGCAGTTTAACTGGCCTGCAGCTACAGTCAACTTACCGAACATCCAACACCTCCCTGAATATGGGATATAGACACAGGTCCTCTGTCCCTAACTGAGATTACCAAGGCTGTCACTAATCTGAAACGAGGCGAAACAGCAGAATGTAATGGAAGGACAACCAGAGGTATTTAAGTACGGTGGAGATAGTCTACTGTCTGTGTTAACTGGAGTATTAGGCAGCGTCTGGGAATCAGAGGAAGTCCCGTCGGGTTGGTATAAGTCATTGATTATACCGATTCACAAAATGGGAGTCAAGTCTTCCTGTGATAATCACAGAGGGATTAGCCTGACTAATGTGGTGGTATCTAAAGTTGTAGGCTCAATAATCATGCGTAGACTAATTGGTGCATGAGAGGAACAAATACGAGAGAAGTAGGCAGGCTTTAGAGCAGGAAGAGGGTGTATTGATCATATCTTCATCCTTCGACAGGTTCTGAAACATAAGATTACTTACCGTCGGCGTCCAACGGTTGTCAAATATATTTTGATCTCAATGCACCACTCGATCCTGTCAACCGAGAGGTACTCTGTTGATGTTTGGCTGTGAAAAGAATGTCGAGAAAATACATTTGACTGATCAAAGTACTCCTTCTACTCGAACTGATGCAGTCAGTCAGGTGAGGGCTTACGGCGAGTTGTCGCCTGAAGTGGTGACAACTAGTGGTGTCCGTCAGGGATGCCTATTTCTACTAATGGACTTAACTCTAAGTGACTTCAGCGACTGGGGAATTGACTTGTTACCATCAGGGAATAATTTCGTTGACTTGGAATATGCATGAGGATGATATAGTCCTTCCACCTACTTGAGGACGCTGAGAAAGTACTGAGTCTTCGAATGTTTGGCGTGAGATTCGCTCAAGCTTTCAAGTGTAATATGATGGTACAGGACTAGTCTGGACTACGTTGACTTATGGCTTAGAAATGGGTAGTGAAGTGGTTTGTGGAGCGTGTTGACCACTTCACTTATTTGAGAAGTTGCATCATTCAACGCCAACGGGTTGATCTCTGAGAAAATCTCAGCATGGATACAGAAAGATAGTTTCGCATATGTCGGTTTACGCCGTCTCTGGCGTAGACGTGATATCCGACTGACTGTCGGCCAAAGGACATGTGTACTTATCAACAGACCTGGCCATTGGAAGTAGAAGACATGAAAAGCCTGACTAGCTGTGTTTGATCGCAGGCGCCTCCGTTCTATCTCTCGTGTGAAGTGGTATAACAAGGTGAGGAATATTGAGGTTAGGTATCGGTCGAATGTTAGGTGAGGAGGGGAGGAAAAATCAATCGATGAGGCTGTGAAGCTACATCGAGTGAGATGGGGCTAGGACATGTGTTACGTATGCCTAGGAATTCATTGCCTTCCTCGATGGGAAACGTTAGCTAACCTGATATAGGATTGGTCAAGTTGGGAAAGAGCCAGTGGTGGTGAAACTGAAACATAGCACCAGTCAATGAAATCCACAATAGTTACCTTAAGTCAGCCACGTAGGGAGGTGTAGACTTTCTAACTGGTTGGTGTCCTCGGGATGTAAAATATCAGTGACGGGAAACAATCGGTGATATGGCTCAAAATCACTCTCAGTGCATAGCGGACATGTGTTCACTCTTTGTGATTTGGCGTATCCAATAAAATTCAAATATCCTTCCATATTACTATTCTGGTGTCCTCATATTTCTGTTTATTTTCTCCTTTGTTTTGAATCTCTCTTCAGTTTCATGTCTTGCTTTATGTGCTACAAGGATGGAGTGTGGCGACTTGAACTGCTGCACATCAGTGGAAAGTCCTATGTTGAAACTAATCTATCAGTCATTCATCGAATGGTAGTTTGCATTTTAGCATCAGATATTGGATTCCGCAATCCAATGCTTCTCAATTAATCGCTAAGTGATTAGCTAATATTAATTCAACTGTTATTGGATAGCTAGATTTTTGACAATCGAATCAATACCTTTTTATTCATTCCTACAATATTTTTTGTAAACATGAGACTGATCTCTAGAGTGTTGTTTATCGTAAGAACATTTAATGTGTGAATCTATCTATTCATACAGTACCATTTCATGATGAACTGTCACTACGAAATAAAAATTTAAATTGAATGAAGAATGTGAAGCGTGTTTGTTTGCTACGTCGTTAATCAATAAGTCCTCAGATTGGGTCACTAATCGGTGTAGTCATTTGTGACATTTGTGTAATATTCCTAGTTCTTTGAAACTCGTCGGGAATTGAAGTTTTCATTATTAATACATACTAGTAATTACAGCACACTTTTCATGGAAATTTCATAAATGATACTGATACGAAAACCAGTGAGTGCGTACTGCCGATGACTGCCAAACTGGGATGAAACAGCAGCTGTCCAGTAGTCCTTGGTTTTCAATGTTTCTCTAACTGATGTCAATCCGTGGTCAACTCGTAAAAACATAACTAACCCTTACAAATCAAACTATAGAAAAATACATATTCGTAAATGAAGACGATGATTTCATTCAACTTTCAATGTTTCTGTTACAGTTTTTCATGATATACAACGACTTTGGTCAACACTTTCAACAAGTTTATTGTCCGGGGATTTCTCTTTGTCCATTGAATGCATACACCCATATGATTGTTAGGAATAAACTCCAACAGTAAGCATAAATGTTCCTAGCTGGAAGGACAATATTATCCTCTGGGTAAAAGCTTTTGCTACCTCCGAACACACGCTTGACTTCTTTTATGAGTTGCTGTAAACAATAACATGAAAAACATGGTAAATCAGAATGAAGCTTACACGTGTTGATAGATACCTGTGTATTATTATTTATAAATGCAACAATAGTCTAAATAACACTCAAAATAGAGTCATCTGGGTCATATAGTTGACAAATACAATCCATACATTTATTCCCCTTGATGAATTTGAATTAAGCAAGAACAACAGCGGTTTGTGAAGAATACAGTAGTGGTACCGTTATTGCTTATTCTGTTGTGTTCTCATCAGTTGCTTACATCTTGAAGACAGTATTAAGTTTATGTACAGAAAGGATTTTAACATACTAACTAACCTGTAGAGAGTTAATTTTTAAATAGAAAATCAATATATGCATACAATGGTAATGTTAATAGTAATAATAATAACAATTTTATTTCGAGCGCTTGTCATCAGTGAGGTGCATCCAGTCAAGTGTAAGGATGGATGTCCCACCAATGACATTGGTTAGTGGTCGCGCTAAATCACGAATTGGTAGAAGTTAGACCTCATGCGTTGGCCATTGAATCGGGTCTCAGTGGCTGAATGATATACGAACTTGCTTTGAAACCAGAAAGTACTGGGTTCGAACCTCGATGATGCCAAAACTAGAATGAAGCAGCCGTCCTGTACTCCCTGGTTTTCAATATTTCTCTAACTGGTGTCACTCCGTGATCAACTCGAATAAAGCAAATCTAATCCTTACAAACAAACTATTGGAAATTAGGTATGCTTTGATAATAATTAGCTAGTAGGTTCATCCTGTGTTTATACACTTACTAATGAAATGGAAGGCTTATGTGAAAGTATGTGAAATCGGAAGTAGCCTTCGGAAGTTGGAGATACTTAAAACCTACTTCGATAGTTTCTAGCTGTCAAATTATAACAATACTTAAAAACTTTTTGATAATGGGCTTCTGTCACTACATTTTCATCTGAAAAACACTGAAATTTGTTGGTAATATTACCACATTGTTCTAGTGTGTTAATATAGACATGGTTCACGTATCCTGAAAAAATAAGATGCAGTCTACAGGGTCAGTATGACTCAATCTGATTTAATAACGAGTCACTCGTGTGAGTCATCAATATGTTCGAATTCACTAAGTACTGAACTACCACATTCGAAATAATAGTGTGGACTAATAAATTGTCAGCTTCAATTTAAACACTATTTATAATAAAATAGGGGTAATTTGATGTCCGACAATTTAGCCAACAAGTAGCAAATAATTGAAACAGGAAATAATGAAGTGTAAACAGAGGTCGTGTTCATTTGCGAAATAAATCACCTGAAAGTGAAAACTTCCTGGAATAAATTCATGAACTAATACGTTTCAGAGACTTGAAGTGCATGTCATCGAAAACATTTCCAACAGGCTACTGCAGACCTTCATCAACACCTGCCTCAATACTGAAGTTCCGATGGCTAGTCAGAAAGGAGAAATATTAATGAACTTTTATAGACAGGAAGTCAGCCAACCACATATTGCCTAACAATTATTCAAAAGACAGTGGAAGTGAAGTGAATTGGACATCAACTGCGGAGACTATTTAGTGATAAGTACACTCCACATAGATCGTCGGATTCGAAGTGATAGGTTGGGCATTGGAAAGTGACATAAAAATGATCATGTGAGGAGCAGATGAAAGCCTGTGTGGAATAGCAGAATCAGTTAAGCGTCACAGAAACCTTAATGCTTCTCCAATATCAGTTTATTACACACCTCATTTAAAAATAAATGGAGTATAAAAATGTAATTTAACTTACGAAGCATGTGAATGGGAATCCAATAGCTCCAGCAATAAGTAAGGTAATCTGTTGAAAACATTGGAGAGAAAACCTGAAACTATGACGGTATGAAACAAACTTCTATTTATCAAATTACAATTTAATGATAACTTGTCAAATGAGATTTTATTCCGGAGATATGCCAGCAGTATACGAAGAACTTTTTACACAGGAAGCCAATGTTTGTCATTCTCTAGCTGACGAATGATTGGGACTCAATTGAAGGATAAGCTAGGTAGTGTTTCCAAATCCATATGCATTTGTCAATTCAACTGCTCTCCTGTGGTGACAGTTATGTTGGGCGTACTACCAGACAGCTTAGCCAATGTGTTACTGAACATCTCTCATCGTGGTTGTGCAAAAGACAGACAAAAACAATCCGTAGCTCAGTTTTGTCATACTCATTTGATAGTGATCATGTAGTGGAGAAAACGAGAGTTTTAAAAGCAATTCATGTTATCCAACAGAATCTTCTCAGTAGGCTTCTTATTCGTCTACTGCACACAGCTGAAGTGATAGGCATTCGAACTATTAAACCTAAACTATGCATTCAAAAGAAGTTCGTACAGCCATTATGCCTATTAAGACGCAACCAACTAAAGACTTCTCCACCATCTCTTACTTATATTTTCAACCCCTTTTTTATCATCCCCTAATCTTATCACCTCTTTATTAAAAACGTGTTTCATTTACTTCCCTTACAATCCAGCATTACTCGATCGGTTCATTTGTTTTTACTAGCCTTTATCAAATACTACTTCCACCTGAACACTTATTTGTTTAATCATGCTGTTTCTCGTTATTCGTGTTATCACAGATTGCCTCACTTTTTCATCCTTATGATTGATAAAACCATTATTATTACCACTACTACTGATATGACTAATTGCACGATTTATATTCACCATCTTATTATTATCCTGTAGACAAAACACCATGAATGCTGAAAATTCTTTGCTGTATCATTAGTACTGTTTTTGGAATAAAGCTATTATTATTATTGGTTTATATTTGAATTTTTATTTTTAAAGTTATGTTAGTGTATTACAGTTAAGCCTGATGAGATCTAATTGAAATCACAATATTGTTCTTTGAAATGTGCCATTCTCAGTCTTAATGTGCAAATATTTACTATTTTAAAAACATAAATAGTATAACAAGCATTATTTATTTATTTACAAAAGAGAAAGGAGAAATGTTGTGAGAGCTGGCTGCTAGCCAAATTGGTAGACAGTAATTTACGTCAATGTTTACGTCCCCAATATTGGTCGTGAGAAAAATAAGAACAAAGACTGATTCAACAATCAACCACAGCAGGCTTTGCGTAGGCGGGTACAGTTAGCATATTAATGATCTGACATTCAAGAAACAGCCACAAAAAGATGAAAGAATAACTTTCAGGGAGAAACAACCAGTGTGAAGACTGTGTTTGTTTGCTTGCAATAAGCTATATTAATGTACATGAAAGTCTACAAATATCTGTTGATTTCCTAAATAAACGATCTGTTGACTGGTCCTTGTCTTCGGTTGCTACAGAAATAATGGAGAAGAACAACATGCATCCATCTCAATTGACAAATTTCCGGGAGATCCTGCTTAATTTGTGTTCAGTCAGTCATTCCTCACTAAATTTATTTAGTGTAGAACTGGAGGCAAAAATCCTGAGAAATAAACCGAAATATTAGCAAGCTCCACATATATGTTGAGTATAGAAATCTGATTAATCAGTCTAGTGATCATTTTCCAGTCTCTGAAGGAGAGTTCAAACGTTTTAAGTCAAATATTCTAGACTCATGTCATGAGTACCTCGATTCAAAGTCCAACTGCAATAATCTATTGACTAAAGGAAACAGAAAGCAGCTCAACCAACTGAAACATAACTCGGAATTACTTATCACACGCCCTGATAACGGTACTGGTAAAGTCCTAATGGGTAAAAAAGATTTTAGAAAGAAGAGAACACGAAGTTCAGCAAAGATATCTTTTCGGCGATTTCATTCTCAAAAGCTGTACAATCGCATTTATATAGATTATTTTAACATGGATAGAATTATTATTTGTTTAATTTCACATAGTAACGAAGGTGATAATAATTTTCAACTTGATATGATAGTTTGAAGGTACGAATACAGATTACAAGAGGCTTAGAGACAAGATTTCATAGGATTAGAAAATAGTTACAACGTATGCAAAAAATTAATATTTGATAACTGGAGAAATAATTTTAAAGGCGAATCGAAGGTGATAATTATTTTCGACTTGATATGAATTACAAGAGGTTTAGAAACGCAGGGATAGGACGAACTACAGGTGTGAACAAAATGAGCATGGAAACAGATTGAAATCAAAATTTTCAACTTGACATGTTAGTTAGGAGGTATGAATATAGATTACAAGAGGCATAGAAACAAAAAATTACACAGGATTAGAATATAATTGTAGAATGGTTATTTTAAACGGATTACAAGTGTGATCAGAAGGAGCATGGAAACAAAATTAAAATAACTAGTTTTTTTAACTGAAAAAATAATTTGAGCCTGAAATGAAAGTTAGGACGTGTGAATATAGATTACAAAAGCCTTAGAAACACAAAAATTGCACAATATTAAGATATAATTGTAAAATAGTTATTTCAAACGAAATATAAATGTGAACAGGGAAAGCATGGAAACAAACTTAAAATAACTGTTTTTATAGCTGAAAAAAATTAGGTGGATTAAACGAAGATTGAGGGACTAAGAATCAGACACACAGCGAACGAAAAATGCTCTAAAGGAAAAAACAAGAACGAAAACAGACGAGGAAGAGAAAAAAAAAGACGGAAACAAAGGGAACATACCAAGCTAGGTCCATGGTAGTTGTAGAGGTTGGACTAACTTCTTTTGAACACACAGCTCCGGCTTCTCGATGCATATTGCGAGGGCTTCTGCAGTACAAAGAAGTCGGAAACATATTGCTTTTGGTAGGTTTCTGTTGACTTTGTAAATCACTTTGAAAGAATCGGTTGAGATTTTGTGGGAGGTGTTGACCAGATGTTCAATAATGGCACTTCTGATTGAACCGGTGCCTCCTCTTTGCAGCCACGCTGGGTAGTGTTCTCTAACACGTTTTGAGAGGACGCGCATACAACGACCTATGTACCTAGCTCCGCACGAGCAAGTGAACTGGTATATGCACATTGAATTGGTCATATGCGAAAGTTTGTCCTTCGTGTTGTTTCGAAGTATTGGGCGGCTAGAGAATGTCACTCTTAGTGTTGCTGCAGGGAAGGTCTTCTTTAGAGAGCTAGAAGACCTTCCCTGCAGCAACACTAAGAGTGACATTCTCTAGCCGCCCAATACTTCGAAACAACACGAAGGACAAACTTTCGCATATGACCAATTCAATGTGCATATACCAGTTCACTTGCTCGTGCGGAGCTAGGTACATAGGTCGTTGTATGCGCGTCCTCTCAAAACGTGTTAGAGAACACTACCCAGCGTGGCTGCAAAGAGGAGGCACCGGTTCAATCAGAAGTGCCATTATTGAACATCTGGTCAACACCTCCCACAAAATCTCAACCGATTCTTTCAAAGTGATTTACAAAGTCAACAGAAACCTACCAAAAGCAATATGTTTCCGACTTCTTTGTACTGCAGAAGCCCTCGCAATATGCATCGAGAAGCCGGAGCTGTGTGTTCAAAAGAAGTTAGTCCAACCTCTACAACTACCATGGACCTAGCTTGGTATGTTCCCTTTGTTTCCGTCGTTTTTTTTTCTCTTCCTCGTCTGTTTTCGTTCTTGTTTTTTCCTTTAGAGCATTTTTCGTTCGCTGTGTGTCTGATTCTTAGTCCCTCAATCTTCGTTTAATCCACCTAATTTTTTTTCAGCTATAAAAACAGTTATTTTAAGTTTGTTTCCATGCTTTCCCTGTTCACATTTATATTTCGTTTGAAATAACTATTTTACAATTATATCTTAATATTGTGCAATTTTTGTGTTTCTAAGGCTTTTGTAATCTATATTCACACGTCCTAACTTTCATTTCAGGCTCAAATTATTTTTTCAGTTAAAAAAACTAGTTATTTTAATTTTGTTTCCATGCTCCTTCTGATCACACTTGTAATCCGTTTAAAATAACCATTCTACAATTATATTCTAATCCTGTGTAATTTTTTGTTTCTATGCCTCTTGTAATCTATATTCATACCTCCTAACTAACATGTCAAGTTGAAAATTTTGATTTCAATCTGTTTCCATGCTCATTTTGTTCACACCTGTAGTTCGTCCTATCCCTGCGTTTCTAAACCTCTTGTAATTCATATCAAGTCGAAAATAATTATCACCTTCGATTCGCCTTTAAAATTATTTCTCCAGTTATCAAATATTAATTTTTTGCATACGTTGTAACTATTTTCTAATCCTATGAAATCTTGTCTCTAAGCCTCTTGTAATCTGTATTCGTACCTTCAAACTATCATATCAAGTTGAAAATTATTATCACCTTCGTTACTATGTGAAATTAAACAAATAATAATTCTATCCATGTTAAAATAATCTATATAAATGCGATTGTACAGCTTTTGAGAATGAAATCGCCGAAAAGATATCTTTGCTGAACTTCGTGTTCTCTTCTTTCTAATGTCCATATGGGTATTTTCCAAAAACTTAAAAAAGATTTTATTGATAAAATGTAGGTAATTCTTTCAGAAAGAAAAACGATCGCTACTCTTGACAAAGAGAAAGACAAAACAGAAATAAGTGGAAGCAATTAAATGAGATATTGAGAAAGCTAATTAGTGATCAACTGGTTTCTAAATGTATCTATTAGACCATTTTCCACACCGGTTTAATAATGACGTGACTGCATGGATTACCAAGAACTCACAAACAGGGACTTCCGTTGTGCCCTATTTTGGACATCTCTCGATCACATTGCAATCCGATCACGAAATAGTTGGCAGAATACCTACAGTCTGTTGGAGAACGACTTTAAAAAAATACTCTCTTCGAGAAAGGTTTGAATTACTTAGGCAGTAGAAAAGTGT